ACCCCTAACATTCTGTGATTCTGTGATAGTATTGTCAGTTTCCTCTTATTTTTCCTATTACAGTCTTTTTTCATTCTCATACCTGGATCTTCTGGAGTTCAAATTTGAGGTGCTTTACATCATCTACGTTAGGATGCTGAAATGTAAAATGAAGTTAACTCTGTCAGAGTAAAGATCTAAGCTTTAGTAAATTTTATATGTGTGAGCCAGATTTTAGAAAGGCAACACCTACTTGAACTAAATTTGCCACCATCTAAATTTCACTTTTGAGTACAACTGACACCCAGCCTGTGTTTCAGAAAGTGATTTTTCAGTATGTCTGGGCAGGGTCTGAAATAAGAGGAGAACTATGCCCGTTAGACCTGCTTTGAAATATGTGTGTGCCGGTGCCAAACTCGCTTTCCTTCATTTTGGTAATGGTGGAGATAGTACTGAAAATAAGGAACTCCTTGTTTTGACATAAAAGATAGATATTGCAATTCAGCATTGCAACACACAGCTGGATGAGCAAAATTCCTTCCTGTTTTTTTTGACTTTAGCACATACTGAAAATCATAAATAAAATAAAGTGATTCCTACTAAGTGCTTAACTTTTATCAAGCAGTTGCCCAAAAGTAGGTGGTAAAGAAAACAATAGGGCTGCTCCTTTGCTTTAGTATTACAGGGATCAGAAGTTTTAATGCGTTCTATAAATTTTATATTTACCTGTGATTCTAACTACTCTGGGTTTTAACAAATTATTTCAGTAAGCCAAGTGCAAGATACAGGAAAAAAACTTAGTTTAAAAATTAAAATAATTATATACAGTAGCACAAGACTAATTAATAGGACAGTCTAAGCTGAAAGCAGAAACAGTAAGGTACATAGGTTCCTGAACTGCTGTCAATAGGAATTTAGTGCATTAGCTCAAAATAATTATATTTTTCCTACTTACTTTCAGATAACCTGCTGACACTCAAATGAATGGCTGAATCTTTTCAGTATCATTCTGATGTTTAAAAATAATACTGAGTTCTGGGTCTGTGTTTATTAGACATACTGCTTCCTCATTGAACTGGCTTCTGAGGTAACACTGCAGCAAGAGGTGACTCCACGTAACTGAATACAAACCTTTCTTTGTTGTTGTTAGCTTCATCTTTCTGCTGTGAAACTGGCAGAGTTGCACAGTGATCTAAAAATACAAGAAAAAGATGAACTAAGCTGGAAAAAACTGAAGGCTGAAGGGCTAGATGAAGATGGAGAGAAAGAAGCCAAACTCAGACGCAACTTAAATGGTAAGGTACATCTTTGCAGAAGGAGTTTAAACATTGCATCAGATACATGCATGGTTAGACACCTATGTTTGTGTTTGAACCATTAAATAACAGGTTTTCTTTCCAGACACTGAGCACACATGAGTACTTTAGAGGTCAGTAGGAAGAGGCAGGAGGCTAACAGATTCCTTTGCCTCTGTTGTTCTCAGAAGAGGCCTCTGTGGGACCTCTGTGTCTTAAACTGGTATCATTTCCACTGTGAGCTGCAAGTCAAGGATGTAGCCAATCTCATCTTCCATAGGTCCATAGCTGGTTTTAATGTTTCTGTATCTTCTGTTCCTTTGCAGTCATTATGGCTAAATACGGAATGAATGGAAAGAAGGACTCTCAACTAGCTGATACCAACTACATTAAAGATGGTACAGAAAGTGATACGCTAGATGATCCAAGACTGGAAAAATTATGGAGCAAGGTGAGTATGGTTTCCAGGAACTGGAGTGTAGGAAATCAGTGTTTCATCATTGAACCATTGTCTGTGGCTTCTGAGAGCCCTGAGACTTGGAACTGAATAGCTCTGCTACTCTGCTTCTAAGTCCTGGCCAAGCTGCTGTGCTCTGTAGCTCACATCTTTGTGCCCTGAGGGCATCCCACCTGCCTCCAGGTCACCAGACGTGTCAGGTTCTCTTTGCCAAAGAAAACACATGCACCAGTGTGCATGGAGAGTAAGATCCTGGGTCCACCGAGGGCAAACAGAGTTTTCCCTCAAATGTCACGGAACTTACGATTTGCCTTTGAGTGACTCTTACACTGTGTGGTACTATACCTATGGTGTTTTTCCTCTTTTCCTTATTGTTGTTTCTGGGCTTTTTAAAAAGATGCATTTAAAATAGAACTATTTCATAAACTGTTTAAAAGTGAAATTTATAGTGGGGTGTGTTATAAAAGGACTTTCCCAACCTGGTATTCAAGTGAAAATTTCCAGGATTTGCATTAGTGCATAAAAGTTACTCTGGGAAGTTAAAACTGGTGAAGTCATAATCTTCAAAAAATAAATAATGCAAGTTTTAGGAAACAAGTAGTCCGGTAAAGCAAAGAATTCTTACGCCAGTCTAGAGCAGCGATAGTAAAGCAGAGAAAAAAGATTTGCTAGGTTTTAAAATATTACTGTAACTAGATACAGCTCTGGCAAGGGACATGATGTCATGTGCTTTGGGGAGCAGTAAAGTGCATTAGATAGAAAAATTCCCTAAGCAAAAGAAAGGGCTGGGGCTAAACAGGTATCAAAAACATTCACTTTTGATCATGCATTGCGGCAAATAAGTCACCAGATTTGTGGGTAGTGCTCCAGCTGTCTGACAAGTGCTTCCCTAATTGCTAAAAAGTGGTCTGGTGAGGAACAAATCACTGCGGAGCAAATGCACAGCAGTGATAAAATCTTCACTTGCCAGTAAGAGCAAGGTTAAGTAAAGACTGCGCTTAATATCAGGATACAACCCTTATGCAAACAGTCCTCTTGCAGTTGCAGATGGAGCTCCATGGCCCTTATTTCTATATGAAATTGTTTCCCGTGGAATAGAAATGGCAGATACTTTTCACTGGGTAGTCCATAGCAAGTCAGGCTTTGTAAGTGTGAGGCAAACTTCCTTTTGACATGATTAAAGCCACCGTATCTGTTGATGTCTAAATCCTGACCTCATACCAATACAAAGAGATTTAAAATGAAAGATCTTAAGGAAAAGCTGGACTTAATAATTTTCTAAATGTGGGAAAAATTTTTGGCAGCTGAGTGCACTTAAAAGCACTTGGCCTGGAAAGCATAATGAGCTCATGTTTCTTTCAGGCCAAGACCTCTGGGAAGTTCTCTGATGAGGAGTTGGATAAGCTTTGGCGAGAATTTAAGCATCACAAAGAAAAGATTCGTGAATACAATATTCTGCTGGAGACCGTGAGCAGAACAGAAGGTGCCTGAACATTTCTCTGTTTCGAGATCAGCACGAGTCTTTTCTCTGCCCATTTCCTCCATTGTTTCCAAGCTTTCTTTGAAACTCCTGAAGTCTGACATTTCTGTCAGAACCGCTTGCAGATGCTGACATTTCCAGATACTTGCTGGGTTTAGTTCTGCGTTAGCTGCCAAAGAACTTGCCAGCTAATGAAAATGTTGCCATTTCAGTTTCCTGACTGCCTGCATTTCAAGCAGGGAAGATACCATCAGATTAGCAACGATGGCTGTAATTATGCAGCAAGCATAGATCCACTGCTGCAAAATGTGGTCCTAAAGTCTGCAGAACATGCATGTTTTATCTCACCAGCTGGGAGCCCAAGAGGATATACTTAACTATCTTGGGCACTGGGCCTGAGGTGTATTAAAGCATCAAGGATCTGAATCCAGCTTGCTGTACTAATCCTAGCTAAAATTGTTAGAGCCAAATTATTCTAAAGCTCATAGGCAGTTTGATGTTTGCATTGTAGAATCCAAGCTGGAAGCTACTGGAAGTCATTTCAACATCACATGTCCTGATTGGTTCATGAAATGCCCGGAGAAGAGGGTGCAGAATTCATCAACCATCCCTATCCCATTTCCTTGGGATATTGCTAACTTAGGAAAAGAAGAATATTTCGTTACTAAAATCTTGGCTGGTGGCCAGTAGTAGTTAAAAACCATTTCTGTTATAGCAGCCTCCCCACTGATCTTATTATTGACCTACAAAAGAAGTTACTGCTTCTTAAAGTGTGGTGTTGATGCTTTATTTACACTCAACTCAAATGCTAAGAGCTTACCATCTTTTATTAACCTCAGATTTGAGGGATTTCTGGAGCTTTTGACCTGTCAGGATTTGGCCTACAATAAATAACACTTTCCTCCTTCAACAGATATCCACAAAAATGTTATCAACCCATCTGAAGAGAACCTGGTGAAAGAGGAAATCTTGCATAACAAACACAGGGAACTCAAAGACAAGCTAAGAAGCATCAATCAGGGGTTTGAGCGTTTGCGTAAAGTCAGTCACCAGGGATATGACGCAACCAGTGGTACGATACGGTGGTTTTTCTGCTTATTTGGGATTAACTTCATTTTTAAAAAATTAAAAATCAGCAGGCAAGTAGTAAGATGTAGGCACAGGATCACAGTACACGGTGTGACCACAGTGGGCTGAAGAGATAGAGCCAGCCTGTTCTATTTAGAAGCCCAATGAAAGGATAGCGACAGCCTGTAAAGAGGATAGTTCTGTCTTCCATGCCCACGTGAGAAGGGATATTACACCTTCAGCCCCAGGAGAGCAGGTAAGTGAGACAACATGCACGGCAAGCAATGCCATTATTCAGTTCCTTGGGGATTTTTTGCTTTTTAAAAAATATATGCTACAGCAATACTATAGTGTCAAGTACTTGGATTTTTCTCCCTTTTTGTCTAAATAGACATGTTAGTAATGCAGCACTTAATATATCTGTGTATGTATGTGAGAAAGCATGCTCATCTTTCATAGAAGCTGGGCATAAAAGCATTGAGTCCGGGTTTTCATTTAGTGGTGTGTGTTTGTTTAGAATTTGAAGAACCAAGAGTGATTGATTTGTGGGACATGGCCAAATCAGCCAATTTCACTGAGAAAGAACTTGAATCTTTTCGGGTAAGTAGAATTCCAGTTAGATCTTTTATGGAAAGATATTTTCCCACGTAAAGAAACACTCCATGTTACTCTGAGTGCAGCCACTTCTGTATGGCTCTTCAGACACCAAAGAAAAGTCATGCTTCTTTCTTAATAGTTCAAATAGTGACACATGTATGTAACTAGTCATAGGCATGGTTCTGTTATAATCAGCAAAATGAAAATTGTGAATCCTGTCAAAGCGTGTTGCATGTTTTAAATCTTTGAAAGATCAGGCCCTGCTTGTTTGTTTCCAGTGCCCCAGAGTTCCCTCTCTCACCCAATGTCTAAATGTAATTACCTCTTTGGGAAGCAGTGTACTCTATATACCCAACCATTTCGCTCTCATGCCCACCTCTTGCACTGCTAACTTCCTGTGTGGGAGCTGTCTTGAACTGACCCAAAAGTACCATGATAAAAACTGCTTTTAAAGGAAATATTACGGGAATTAATTTTATGGGGTTCATGCTGGGTTTTTTTAATTCAAATTGCATTGAGAAAATGTTTTTTTCATCTGACTTGACCTGTTTATCAGAATAGGTTTTGATTGATAGCCTGGAGAAGTAACTCATGAGGGCTTCTTCATGGAGTTACATGTACTTAGGATGTTGTCTTACCCTCCAAGACATGGCTAGGCACACCTTGAGCTTCTTTTCCAGATAAGGCAGTGAGAGAGTTTCAGCTGCCTGGGACAGGGATTGAAATCTGTCTCTTCGATGTCAAAAATCCATTCTTTTAACTCGCACACAGCCCGATTCTTTTATGAAGCAAATGTTTTAATTACACTGATTTCAGTGGCCCTGCTTTTAAGAGTGTCAGAGGAAGCCTGCTGAAGTCTGCAACAAGGCTTCTGCTGACCTCAGTGGGACATTTTGGTCAGGACTGTATGATTGCATGAGAGGTAAATTTGGCCTTCATATCTGCCACAGTGAAAAAGAAAAACTCCATTCCATAAGCAAGAACACATGTCTCCTTGTTAATTTTACTGTTTTAGTAGAAATCTTCATTCATGCGAACCCTCTTCACCAGACAAAACCTGTCTGGTTAGTGTGAATGTTGGGACATCCTAACAAAAGTAAAGCACTAAGAATCACAGGGAAACATCTGCCTGTTTAAAAAGTCCGTGAAAGCAGAATTAAAGAAATCACGTGCTGATTCACTTCAGCCTTATTTGAGCAGCTGAAGTTGTGTCTTCTGATTGGCCAAAGAACCAGCCTTCATATGGGAGGGTAGAGACACTAGTTGTTCTTTGATCCCCCTTGCAGGGTACCAGGTTATCTGAGGACTGTCTCTGATACGTCCCTGAACACCACAGTTAGTCTGGCCGCTGTCTTTGGGGCAAACTAGGAGGGCTTTTTGTTTGTTAATGAATTCATCCTGTTTCAGATACATCATAGCAGACTGCAAACTGAAAACATTTAAGTCTGAGCAGAAAACGTCAAATCCAGGCCCTGATTTTGAAAAGAGGCTTCTCTTAAAAATTGTGTGTGTGTCTCCCTCCCTCCAGTCCACTATTCATGGGTATAAACTTTAATTTGGTATTCACTGCTGGTCTCCCAGCACCTCACAGCCATCAGCAGTCTCCTTTTGAGGACTGTGCAGTGGGACATTGTCAGCACCTGCCTTCAAAATTTGGTGTCTGGGTGGTGATGATAATGTTTTGTCCAGACATTCTTAAGAAGCAAGGAACTGAAAAAGCTTTCTGTGCTTGACTTAGTAAGGTAGCATTAGGGATGTTTTGGCAAGAAAAAAGAGAGGAAGCCTTGGAAGGAAGATGCTGTGAAGCTGTGTGTATTTGTTGTTGTAGGAAGAGCTGAAACACTTTGAAGCAAAAATTGAGAAACACCATCATTATCAGAAACAGTTAGAGATTTCACACCAGAAACTGAAGCATGTAGAGGGAACTGGAGATAAGGACCATCTGACCAGAAACAAAGAGAAATATGCCATGCTGGAAGAAAAGACAAAAGAGCTGGGATATAAGGTCTGTATAAATCAAATCCACCGTACATACATGTTGAAAGTTTAACTCAGTAGCAGAGGGTATGTAGGTTATCCAGTGCTGATTTTCCATGCAATTTGAATGACTTCTGTGGGGGGAGTTTAAGGCACACCTGTGCTCCATGTTTAGTACAGGGTATGCATAATTGTTTTTCGTAGACCTAAAATGCCTGAAATCTCCCTGGTTTCTGCTCTTCCGGTTGTCACATACACTGATAGCAAAATCTGAATATACGTTGATAATTCATTGTCTTACTAAAAGTGGTTCATTGTGTTTTGTTTTCCTGCTAGGTAAAGAAGCACTTGCAAGACTTATCCAGCAGAATCTCTCAAGGTCTTCAACACAATGAGTTATAAAAATTTGTTCTCCTTCATGGGATCAATCTATGAACACAAAAGAGATAATGTGGGTTTTGAACAGGATTTACCAAGGAGTCCTTCTGAAATAGTAAGGATTGAACAGCATTGTCCTGTAAGAAAATTTTTTTGGTCCACTTAATTGCCAGTTTTGTATTTGCACTATCAAATTAAATGGTTAGATTATAAATTTAAGTTGGGCATCTTGGATCCTATAAGCCTTACATCCGAATCAAGTAACAGACTTTGAAATAATCAGTCATGTCAAAAGGAAAAATAGGTTAACTCCCAGAGGATTCCTGAAAAGAAATACTAACCTGGTAGTCAGGAAAGGTATTCTGATCAATGAAAGCAAACACTGAGGTACAGGAAGTTAAACCAGAGTTAAATCAGTGCCTGGCCTAACACATTTCCTGCTGCAGGAAACGAAAATATTTCTGCTGGTTTTGAGCAGTGGCTCCGAGCTGCACTGTATATGAATCTTTCTTTCATGGGAGAGGGGGAGGAAGAGTAAAGAGGAAACAGGTATTGAGGTCACTTCATACAATGTAGTTATAGACTAACACGTCTGAAGTTACTGAATGTATGTGTACAGTTAATCTTGTTCACGGTTGCTTGGTTTTGTTACACTTAGTCATTAAAAAATCAAAACAAGGTACTGGTGAGGCTTTTTTTTTTCTTTCCTCTCATTTATTGAGAAGTAACTGGACATGGTTTTTAAGCCTGTTGCTCATTCCTTTAAACTAAAGTTCACTCACACATTAGTTTTTAAGACAGGAGGGGTAGTTTTGCATCACAAGAATGTGTTTCTATGTTCTGAATAGGCAGAAGGCTTTCTAAAGCAGCTTCTCTCTGAGCACGTATTCCAGTACAATCCCCAGTAAAGATGATTGTCACTTTCCCTTTCGAGACCAGATTTTTCTGTTTTCTGTCAGAACTTTGACAAACATTAGCCATCAGGGTTGAAATTTTCCATAATAATAATGCTGACCCTTTATGTCTAAGGAGTGATTCACGTGAAACTGTTCCAGGTTACAGCAAAGGTCCAGTGCAGGTAAATCATTACAGCTGCTTGGTTAAGAAGCTCGGTCACTCCCACGGTGCAGCGCTGTAGTGGGCTGCATGAGGAAGCTGCCCTCGAGCCTCGCTTGCCGTACGTGTTCCGTGAGAGATTTTAGATCCGTTCAGTCAGAATCAGCCGCTCTGCAGGTTATTTATCCAGTTCTTGGGTCCATGGTGGGTTGAAAGTAGTTTGATTCTGTACATAAAGACTATTTCATAATGTTCAAGAGATCTGAACCAAAATTGTGGTAGCAGACTTACTTGGAGATCCTGAGTATCTTACTTTGAAGCCATAAGGTGGTTTTTTTTCCTTTTTTATTTTAATGTAAGCTAACAGTTATTTATATACCAGAGCATCAGTCAATCATGAGAAACACAGGCTGCCATTTACATTAGCAGTCACTTCAGAGGTGGTTCTGTTCATGTAGTTTATGGTATATGAGCCCTTTGGGTGGTAAGCTAAAAAATGTAAACCCAAAAATAGCTAAAACCCATTTATGAGAAAACTGGTTTGTTTTTTTCTTAGATGCTACACACCATTTCTTCCCCAGGCTATCACTTTAAGGGCTGTTCAGCCTTTAACACAGCACTAGCTGCATTGTCTTACAGGTTTATCTTCATCATCCTTTTTTTCAAGGCGAGTGCAGAACAGAAGTGTATTCGGTACTATGTGTGGCAGGTGCAGGCTGCAGCGCGTCCTTCGGGTTTCCCTTTGGCAGAGTAAGAAATAAATCCACGTGCCACAGGTGGGTTTGGTGTTTGGTGGCTGTGGCTGGGATGTGGAGAGGCCCACCCCAGTGGCTCCTGGGTGAGGAATTTGAGCACCTGCACTAAATGCATCAGCAGAGGAGAGGAGCGAAGCGAGCACCGAGCAGCTCCTGCCCAGCCGTCCTGGCTGGGTTGTACAGGAACGGAGGAGCTGTTGCCGAGCACGTTCAGATGCTGCTGCTGGGGGAGAGCTGTTGCACAAGGGAAAGGGCGTGAGCGCCTCAGCCTGCAGTGAGGGCGGGCAGAGCAGCTGTACGCTCCACGCGAGGGGGCGGCGCAGAAAGCTGGGCTTCCTCCTCAGCGCGTGCCTGGAATAGAATACGCTCGTTGAAGAGGGTCTGACGCCTTTTGGCATGGCACAGGGGGCTGCCTTCGCGGAACACATCACCAGGGTCAGATCAGCCGTGCTAATGGTTGGCTCCGAGGGCAGAGCTGCTCCAGCGCAGGCTGCAGACAGGGGCGGTGGCTGTACCGTGTGGCGCCGGCTGTGCCATGTCTTCACCCACCGCGCCATGGCAGTCATCGGGCTCAAAGGCCGGGCAGGCTCCAGCAGAGAGAAGGCTTGGCAAGCGCTTCAGGGTACCAGAGGCTGACGAAATGCTTACATGTCACAGTAATTCAAAATCAGGAACGAGTCACAGATCATCGGCAAAGGTTGGAGAGTGGGGTCAGCACAGTCGCCTCACATTAGATATTTAACACAGTTGTTAATGAGTCATCAGACCCAAAGATTGTTCACACAAACCTAGAGGAGAAAAAAATGTTAAAAAGCTGTGGTTGCAGCCCCTGAATCCAGCTTTCCCCTGAAACAGTCTGTAGCTGAGTTAGCCTGCAACAGCATAGAGGAGGTGTGAGAAATAGTCCCCATTCTTGTCAAGGCTCTTTGGGGCTTTCCTTGCTTTTTGAGATCTGGGGAACCTGCACAGGCTCGTGAGTTGTGAAGTCGGATTTCACTCTTGTTTCTATAGTCTGCACCTCACACCCATCAGTACATGTACAAGTCAGTTAATTGTCGCAGTTTCAAAGCCTCTGAAGACAATTCATATGGCCAAAATAACGAGAGCGGGTAGTCTTTGAGACATTAACAATTAAAAAATAGCTTTTGTTTCTGTAACTAGAAACAAAAATTCAAAGCCAAGAAAAAAGGTATAAATGAAATATGCCTACGGTCCTGTACCTAGCGGAAGTTGAGTAATGGCAGTCATAGGTGAGACTGCACTAGAAGAGGAAAGAACTAGCAGCTTTTAAACAGTGGTCGAACCTTCTTCCTTAATTGGTATTTTTTTCTGATCCTTTTGTAATTATTCAGTTACCAAGTGTTTCAAACCAATCTGAGAAACTGTTTAAAATGCAAAAGTGGGAGCAGAAGAAACAGGAAAGAACTCGTTTCTCAGGGAAAAAAGAAAAAAAAATCAGAACATTTTATGTTTTATTTGGTGTGTCAAATTCTGCCCTGAAAAAGAACCTCAATTTAAATAAATGTGTCAGTGATTTCATGTGGGACAGATCTTATTTATTAAATAGGTTGGGGGTGGAAATGAGAGGGGAAATAAATACAAAAGATACTAAATACGACCAAAATAATCCAGTCTTTCTTAAAATAAACACTATGTCCTACGTGCTGGTAGAGGAGCTCAGATCACGTTATTCTACCACGACAAAAAAGGAACAGCCACTACGGCAGATGTATTGCTGTAACGATTTCCCCTCTCCCCTCCCAAGGGACGCTGGTGCCTTATGAATGAGGCAATAGACACAGCAGCTAAGTTCACCACGTGGAGGTCATTTACATTTTGTAAGCTGAGGTGCCATCTGACTTTCCAGCCCCACCTCCCGGTAGTGGCCCGGTTCCTGCAGGTACAGGTCTGGGCGCTGGGGAGCTGATGGAAGCAGGATCCTTGGTAGGGCTCTCCTGCTTGCTGTGCGTCAGGCTCCCTCTGTGGGGCTCCCTCTCGCCAGGGTAATGCGGCTTTTGCACAGAAGGTGGCAGAAAGCAAGAGACAGAGACACCAGCTGAGCTTCCAGGATGCGGCTGCCTCGACGGCTGGTCTTGGCATCAAAGGGCTTCAAGCCCTGACTGGGGAGCAGAAGGCAGCTCCCAAGCTCCCAGCTCACCTAGGACAGAGTCATGGAATCACAGAAGAGTTTGGGTTGGAAGGGACCTTCAAACATCATCTAGTCCAGCCCCCTTGCAGTGAGCAGGGACACCTTCAGCTACATCAGGTTGCTCAGGGCCCCCTCCAACCTGACCTGGAATGCTTCCAGGGATGGGGCTTCTACCACCTCTCCGGGCAGCCTGTGCCAATGGTTCACCACCCTCACTGTAAAAAACAGTGTCTTCCTTATATCCAGTCTAAATCTGCTCTCTTCTAAAGGGACATACCAGCGTACACACGTGTGCTGCCTAGATCCCCGCACGCAGGGTCTGCAGCTCTGCTACAGCAGGTACCTCACCCTGATGACCCTAGAGGGAGCTGGCAGGGGCCCTAACTCATCATATTTGCAGTTCTTCCATTTATTAATTATTTGAGTTTAGGTGAATTAGTGCAGTTAGTTACACTCCATGAAAGAATGTAGGTGCCCAGCCAGGACGCCGCATGCCACAGTGCCCAGAAACCAGAGCACTGCACTGGGAGCCAGGCTGCCGAGAGCTCCTCTGCAGGCCCTGACCCAGGATCACGTGTCAAAAGCCCAGGCACAGCGTTCAGCTCTGGACTAACCCAGACAGAGGTAACACACAGTTCGCCTGCTTGGATCACAACATATCCATCATCCACAGACCTTCCTGGTCATCATTTGGCACTCCTTTGGAGAGGTGCTTGGGTTTCGAGTTTGTTTGTTTAAAAAGGTGCCATTTCACACACAAAAATCTACCAGTAAGTAATACACAAGCAGTTCTAAAATAATTTTTAAATATATTTTTTCTTTCATAGCATTTAATGGGAATAGATGAAGTAAATAAAGTCATGAAATAGAAGTCAATAAATAGAACAGACCGTTGCTTTCAGAACAAACAGACCCTTGTAACAAAGAACAGGGAGCTGTGAAAGACAAAGACTGTGTTTTCCATATACATGCTGTTATCTAACAACAGCTTCTAAACACCATTTCCAAATACCACACAGGGTTACCAGGTGTTTCGGGCCGTTCACGTAGCACCTATTGGGAAGTGGGTTGTTAATCTACTGAAAAATTGACTGTATGGATTTATTTTACAAATATCCACGGTCATCAAGAGGAAACGTTCATAAAATCTGTCCAGCTGAGCCAAAATAAATTTATAAACTTTCATCCACAGTGAATATTTCAAGTTGAGCCATATTTGGTACAGCAACCATTATAACCTAAATGCTTTTATCAAGAGCCCTTAATGCACTTTCATATCCAAATCTTCATGTGTATTATCCCACCACTCAACAAAAG